CATGGAAAAAAAAGAAAGAAATAATTTATGTCATGTACATAGAAATGTTAGTTGTTGATGAAATATGCATGTAAAATTAGATGGATGACATAGAATAAGAAGTAGTTGCGATTTTGCTTTTCTCTTTAGTTATTGGTGAAGATGATGATGCTGATGATGATGCTAGAGGGTTTTCTACTAGTGTACCAGACGGAAGAGATAGGAAATAACAACGAATCAACATACAGCCATTCCGTTATTACTATAAGCGTGCACGACAATTCTTCCTCTTACTGTTAGTTCAAATCTTTTTTTTTTTCTCATGCTCACAATAGTCTCGAAGCCTCATTACTCATATCTTGATTCTCTTCTCACGCCCTTTTCTTTTGCTCTTTTTTTATTTCGAACTAGAGGACCAACCATAGACTCATTGTAATTGTAAATTGCCTTCAAATGGTACATCGCATTCTTTTTTTGATTATGTACATCCTTTCTTTTTTCTTGTTTTGATTTAAAATATCATTTTTTTTTTTTTGTTTTATGAATATGCAAATGTCAGCTTATTATCTTAAAGATTCTATTTAGTAAATGTAGAAGAAAAGAGAGAAAAAGAAAAATATAAGATTCTGTTCTTTCTCGTGTGCTTCGTTAACGTCTACTGTGAAATAAAAGACCAGAGGTAACTTACAAAAATAAAACGCACACTGTTCGTACTTTCACAACTTTCCTTTTTCCTTTTTTCATAGCACATGTGGCATCAACAATGAAAGAAAAAAAAAACATTGCATCGTATTCCAAATATAGTTATCTTGTTGAAGCTAAAATATTTGATTAAAAAATATGTCACAATATAGAGTCAGAAAGACAAACAGCAAATACAGCAGACATAAATAAACAATGATAAAGTAAAGAATTAGCGTTTGAGAGCTCTAAGAAAGACAAAGAATTTTTTTTCATCAGTCGTTGCAGACTTTTAACTATATGTCAATGGAAAGAGAACGATAAAAATATAAAAAATGAGAAAAGAACGAGAACTAAAGACAATAACATTATCAGTGTAAAGTGTGTTGGAAAATATTTTTAGCATTGTAAGCTTTTTTAGATGAATTAATCTTTTTGGTTATATATGGCGTCGTCATCGTCCTCAAATAAAACGCCAATGATCAATAAACATAAAAATAATTATTTTTTTTATGGCACTCATCCATTAAAAGTACCCAATACACTTGTTCATGCTAATTCAACAACAAGTTTATCTACATCAAGTACAGGTGGTCAAAATCTGAATCATTTATCACTTGATATACCAAATAGTAATCATAATAATTTTCGTCATGGATATTCATCAACAACAGATCTAACAACAACAAAATCATTACATAATCTAGCAGAATCTCGCAAAGACGATGACGATAATAATGAGGTAATACAACAAAAAAAAAAAAAGAAACAAAAAAAAACTAAAAAAAACAAATACGAAATTATTATCTTTGTTTATCACAGATATATGTCATTGTCCAAATAATATCATTATCAGTTTGAACATCAACATATGACGTTGTTGTTGATTCATAAGTATTTGATGAACTAACAAGTTTAGTCAAACTTAATTCTTGAGTTTTATTTATATTCCATCGAAGTCCTTCAGTTTGCACATGTGCTGATTGACCTATTGGTAATAAACTACATATATTACCATTATATATTGATTGTATATGAATTCTATTTAGTTTATTTGCATGTAATAAAAAAGTAATGTCATGATCAGTTATTAAATATATTTGTAAATTAGGATAATTATCATTAAGTATATATAATGTATGTATTATGCCTATCGTGTGATCAAATCGACCACCTAATGAACAAAAAACTAAAAGATTATTTAATGTAGAATTTTTTTCCATCATAACACGAACACATTTTGTAAAATCTGTTGCATTTTGATCATTAGTTTTAATAAAATTAATAGTTGATATTGATCTATAATATTCATATGTTTGTTGATTAATTGAATCAAAATCACCACTTATATAATCGGGTAAAAAATTTTCATTGATTTCATCCGAATAAATTTTAAGTATATTTGAACCACCATCAGCACATGCACGAATATGAGCTTTTTCCCATATATTTTTTTTTAGTAAATTTCGTAGACTATCCAATGAATAATTAAGTATTATAATACCATAGTTGAATGAAGTATTTGATTCAAAAAATGAATAGGGATTATAATCTTGACGAAGCATTTACTTTGTTTTTTTCTTTTCTTATTGTATGTTGAAAAATGGTATAGAATAAATATGATAGGTTTTTGTTATGTGAACGTTCATTACATTCTCATCTCTAAGTCAATGAGTTTGTTTTTTTTTCAATTCATTTATTATTATGGTCAATTAATTATGCATAGAACATATACATAGAAAAGAAAAATAAAATAATCTATTGGACCATACGAGCTCGAGTTGTCTTTTATTGAAATTTACGCAAAATAAAAAGTATGTATAATGATGTATGTTTAATGTCATCCATTTTTATTTTCTAACGCAGAATGTGATGAGAGGAGGCACAGAAAAGCAAGAAAGAAAGAAAGAAAGAAAAAATAATAATCTTATCAGGAAAAAAATGACTCTTTGCTTTTGTTTTGTGATTATACAGCAACTGTCTGTCATCTGTTAGGAAATAGGAGACATCTGTACATATTTAGGTGATCGATATAAATAAGAGGAATGAAAGCAAGAATAAATTAGTAATCAAACAATAACACTTGCAGGAAAAAATGAATTCCTGTCTGAAAAACATTCTGTTATAAAATAAGAACACGATAACATATGAAATTCTAATCGAAGTAATACAATACTAGGAAAAAAGATTAGTTTCAAAAAAAAAAAAACAACAGCCAATATAATTGGCCTTGGAAACTATCAGAAAAGATTACTCAGGATTTAAGATTAATTTTTTTTCTAATAAAATGAATTCAAAATTCAATGAATAATATAATGAATAAATTCCTTGAGATAAAATTAGATCCTATTTTTATATCTATTTGTTTTAGGTATTCGAAGATGCATTAGAAAGCTTTGATGATGATAATGATAATCCTCAAAAAACATATCTAAATAAGTTTGTTGATTCCGAAAATATTTATCCTATGCTTATATTTTTAAATCTTCAGTAGACCATCATTATCAAAAACACACGAAGAATCCACAAATGATCTAGCTCAATCATTAGTCGAATGTCAACAAATCACTCAACTTATATTTGAAAATCGTCTTAATGAAGCACTTAGAAAAACTAAAGAACAGTATGTATATATGTCATCAATCGAAATTATTATGGAATGCATATTTATATATTCTTTCTTCAATAGGGAAAATCGTTCTTTATATCATAGTTTATTGCATAGTACAATAAGTTTTATGCAAGCTGGAATGACATTTAATCATGTAAAAGTTAATTAATATTATCTTGTATAGATATTATTCCTTGTCTAATATTTAGGATGATATTGAAGCAACAATTCAAGCATTACGTCATACAACAAATATTGCGAAAAAATATGAACCATATCGACCATGGATAACATTTAGTTTAACATCAAAATCTGTTATGACTGAAGGTGAGTTATTAAAAATTTAGTTGTTTTTTATTGTTGAATTAATTATTATTCGATTAAATTCATTTAATTTTATTTGTTCTAATGGAATAATTGGTGTTGAACGAAAGAGTTCTTCAATTTGTTGATCAAATTTTTTCTTCGATCGATTTCGATTTGAAATATTAAACATATTTTCATTAAAATTTTGAGCTGAATTTTTTATTTCCTTTGAAAGAATAATAGTTCTTGGACGTCGTTTATAATGGTAAAGAAATAATACAATTATTGTACAACATGCAACAAATATTGTACCAAAAGATATACATGTCCATACTTTTCGATTGCAATAATCAATAGGAAAACGATTCATCGAATATGATCATCATTGATAAATAGAATAGAGCTATGAAATTTAAGATAAGAAATATAATCACAATATTTTTTATAGGATTTTTCGTTTTGTTTTTTTTTGAATTTAATAATAATAGATTCGCGCATTCATTTTTTTTGTCGATATCTTAGATGAATTACATGCAAAATTAGTTTATGCTGAAGCATTACTTATTCGAGCATTATTAACATTTATTCAAGATCAAGGATTATTTAGTTTTATAAGTGGTGCCCTAAAAATTAAAGAATGTCATGATCTATTTGCGTAAGTTTTTTATACAAATAAATATTTTGTAATAATTTCAACTTTTAGAAAACTAGCAAAAAATAATGATCCGTCCAGATTTTCATCGACTTTATCACACGAACATTTTGATAGTGGAGTTCGAATGGGTAATGGTGCATTTAATTTGGTATTAAACAAAAAATAATTCAAATTTGTGTAGTAAGATTATTTTTTATTATAATATTCATATTTAGATGATTGCTAATCTACCACAACGAATTATTCGTTGTCTGGAATTCGCTGGTTTTTCCGGAGATAAAGTAAGATATTATGAAATATGTGAAGATTTGGACAGAAGAGATTCTTCTAGAACTTTGGTCTTAACGAACTTGAGAAAAGTGCAATGAGCAACGGTTTACGAGCACCATTATCAGCTTTATTGCTTCTTGGTTATCATACCTTTGCTGCACATATATTTGGTAATTTCAAAAACAAATAAAACAAGAATTATTCTTTACGACAATAGAAAACTTTTCTTTTTAGGAAATAGTGATGGTGATCTTGAAAAATCACATATGTTAATTGAACATTATTTAAAAAAAAATTCAAATGTAAGTTCACTTTTTTTTTTCTCAAGACTTTTTATTCCATTGATATAATCAATTATTTCAGAAAAAAAAAGGCTTTCACTTGGTATATGTAAAAATTATAGATAGAGAGATAGAAAAACCAGGGGATGCTTTATAATATGAATTCGTTTGAATACTCCAATGCTTTTATTTTATTTATTGATAGATAAAATAAGTTTTAAATAGATATTCGTCTTGTGTGTTGTTGATTAATTGAAAAAGAATTAATATTATTTCGTATTTCAATTATGCATTCTTGATTGGCACAATCAGTTAAAGGTTTAATACATGGCGAAGGAACAGGAAAACAAAGTGGAATAGGTATAGCCAATGGAATAAAACTTGGTAGAATACATGTATGATTTGATAATAAGTCTTTTGTTAGCATTGGAAATAGAGTTGATGATGTTGGTCTAAAAAGTAATGGCGGAGATAGTTGTTGAAGAGAAGGAATAGTAGCGAATGGATATTGAAAATGATTAAAACCAATGGGAACTGGTGGAGAGAAACGAGAAGATGAACAAGTGAAATTTCTGAGACGATTAATTGGCATTGTTTCATTTGAAGAAGACGATGATCGATGTCGTTTTAATGATGGTAAAGGAGAGAACTTTCGAGATATTTCATTCTTATGTATTTTTGATTTCCTGGATGACAAAAGTTTTTGTTGATGATTATGTTTATTGTCACTTATTTTCGGTTTTGATATTTTCTCTGATATTGCAAAATTTGTAGACTACAAAAAAACTAAGTGCATCTTTATAAAAAATATAATTCTTTTAGTTTTACTTTGATTTTAATTGTTTGATGAGTTTTTAATGACTTTTTATCCTAAAAACTAAATTTTATACAGATAGAATAAAAATTAAAGTTTCGAACTTTATTTTTTTTAAATGAAGCACGACGATATTGATTAAAACAAACTTCACTACATAATATTTTCGTATCATCATTATCATTATTGAACATAAAAGATTTTCTACCTAATTTTTGACACCAAGTACATATTGATGCTAAATAATAATTAATAAAAAAAAAATTTTATTCTTTTTTCTTTCTAAAATAAAACATTTACATTCTTGTTCTTGATTAACTAACAAATTTGTCATGGAATCATTCGTTGAAGTAGTTTTTAAGTTTTTTATTTGATTACAATCATACAGATGAAGTGATTCTTTAACTTTCGTTGAAGAATAAGTCTTTGAATAATATAGAATAGGCATGAACTCAAAAAAAAAATAAAAATCTTTTACCTGAATTTCGTTAGGTTCATCTTTAATTTTTATATTTGTTTTCATAATTTAAAACAGTTTGATCATAGAATTTCTTATTTGTCTATCTGCCAAGCAGTAATACGATGAATGATAGAATAAGAAAAGAGGTCAAAATAGAATTAGATTTCTGTAGCATTCGATTTCGATATCTGATTTCTTCTTTACATTTGCAATGTTGTCCTATCGAATTACTACATTTATTCATTCTATGGTGCAGTCCAGTAATGTTTATTGGTTAGGCTCCTATTGATGCTTTTACATATTATTTCTTTTCTTATCGTTTATATGTTGTATATAATCCTTTTCTATTGAATTATATTCAAATTACCTTTTGATTTTTTACACTGTCACAGATCAATTTTGTAATACATGTTTTTGTTATTAAAAGATGAACATTTTTATAATAAGCAAGAAAAAACAGAGTGAGTCGACAAGAAGAAAGTGATATCAAATATCATTTGATATCCATGTTCCATAGTTCCAATTATTTTTTTTTCTTTGAGAAAAAGAGTATTGTTGATTATATTTTGTGAGAAAATTATTGATGGCGAGTAAAGTTTTGTTTTTATAAAATAACGAGTGATCAAATGGCAAGTATACAAAGCTAAAATCAATTCTGAAATTCGAGAGGTTTAATGGCCGTATTCTACTGATGTAATCGATAGTAATTGTTTGAATTGGGATTTATACTGTTGTATCCTTAGCAGTTTTTTCTTGAATTTTTTGTTCAAATTTAATTATTAATAAAACGATTTAAAAATGTCTTTCTTTTTAGTCTTATATGTTTCTTGTTTTTCGTGCAAGACTTCAAACACTTAATTGTCGACTTAATGAAGTAATTGAATTAGTAAATAAATTTAAAAGAATATACACTTGTTGTTCTTTTTATTAAAGGCAATTCGAACATATGAACACGCAATTCATTGTCAAAGTGATTGGAAAAATCTTCATCATGTGAAAATTTTTCCTTAATAATTTAATTACAATAATAGATTTCGATTTTGTAGATTGCCTACTGGGAAATACTTTGGTGTCATGTGTAAGTTCTGTTGTTATTCACTCAATATCTCTAATTGTATTTCTTTTTCTGATTTTATATATAGCCTTCAACGTCAATGGAAAGAAGCAATTAATACGGCTCAAATTCTTCTTACAGAAAATAATTGGAGTAAAGCAACATCTTGTTATCTTTTAGCAACATTTCAATTTGAAGATAATAATGCTGTTGCAACAAATGAAATAATTCTATTATATAAGTAACGAAAAAAAAAAACTTTCTATTCTATTTCAATTTAATATAAATATAATTCATATTAGACGTGTACCAGAATTAAAAATTCGTCTGGCAGGTAAATCAATTCCATTGGAAAAATATGCAATAAAACAATGTGAACATTTTCTTGTACAAAAATGGCTTTTCTTACCAGCATTGGTAAATAAGGACATCTAGAGTTGCTTTTTACTGATAAATAGTTTTTTTTTTAAATTTTCAAGAAAAAAATTAATTTCAATGAATAAATTTTTTTTCTAGGAATTAGTTTATCTTATGAACGGTTTTTATATACTTGCTCATGATCATAACAAATTACAAGAGACTCTTAATATTGTGAATAATGCATTAAAAGATCTGGAACTTAATCATCAAAGTAATTCATTTAATTAATATTCTTTAAAAGGAAATCTTTTTCTTTTTTGTTTTGAATCAAATAGATGATCAATTCTATGCTGATAGTTATGGTTCCGGTCTATTACTTCGTGGTGTTCTTTTTCATTTTCTTCATCGATATGATGAAGCTCATCAAGATTTTGATGAAATAATTAATATGTTCGTGTTTCTTAGTTTTATAAGCAAAAAGAAGTAACGGGAAAATCTTTTGTTTTTATTTTTAAGGACAAAACAATTTGATGAAAAATCTTTATTACCACCGAATGCAGTATTCGAAAAAGCAATGATTTATCTTGATTTGAAACAAAAACAAAAAACGAATGAATATTTACAAAAATCAATGTAAGAAGATTTTTTTTTTTTTTATCATCAGTTATTTGTTTTTTATTTTTAATCTTATTAGAAATGATTATAAAGATTATCAACTTGAGTCTCGTCTTCATTTTCGTATAAATGCAGCAATGCAGACAGTGAAACAAATGGATAATGATTTAAATAAAAAAACTATTTTCATAAATAAAAAAAGTAATGACACATATTTGTGATATTTGTTTTTTTAGTGGTTTGTTTTTATTTCTTGTTTTTTCGTGATCATGTTTCCAAATTCGTTTTGTTTGTTTTTTTTTCTGGTCATCCTGTCCGGTGCGTCAAATGTTTATTAATAAAAAAAACTATATTTATTCTTTCTAGTTTTTTTCACATCGATTCTTTTAAGTATAATCATACTGAATATTTGGATTTCGAGACATATGAAAGATTTTATATTGAAATCATGCGAATCGAGTTAAAGAAACGGGATTCTATAATTATTTATTAGTGATATTCAGTGTTATAGGAACATTTTCGAAGTTAATGAATCAAGAAGATAATGTGATTCTCATGAAAATTCATTTTGAAGCAACAATAAAGAAACAATTGAATATTTCAATTAAATATAGTTATGATTTCAAATAGATCGATATGATGAATAAGATTCATTTTTGTTTAACGGTTCGTTAATTTTGTTCGATTGCGTACTGAAAATAACATTAGATACATAATTTGTCCATGTGTCTGTCATTGCAGAAATATTTATCAAAGATTGAGTTAGAAATAAAGAATTGTATATTGGATAAAAATATTTTATATGTATACAAGGTTAATATTTGAATACAACTCATTGGACATATTCCATATGGATAATGTATATTTCATATGAAGATAAAACGGAATTCAAGTGATATTAGGATAATCACAATGATTTCAGATACGTACCAGCTTCTTTGAGTAATGAATTAATATTGTCATGAAAATCGGTTTTATCATGATCGTCTTTCTTATTATTTATACATTACCTGATATTGATATCATAAAAACAAATTAATTTCTTTTTAAAGTATTTATTCATCTAATAAAACGAAAATTTAAATTGATCAGTGAAATTTCTTTTCCATTTGGAAAATCCTCATCTATTTAAAGCTTCATAAAGAATTCAATACGCTTTGTTATATTATATATGTATGAGCAACAGTATACTCGAGTATTATGCTTAGATTAAATAACAGATATTAGATAGCTGCAGTAAAAAAATATGCCTATCGAATATTATTTTGGAATTGGATATGTTCGACATACATAAATATTGAATTTCCATTTTCTTGTTTTGAATACATTTATTGTTGGTTTTATGAAATTACTAAATTTTGTTTTAAACTTTTAGATTCTTCTTTATTTATTTTTTTATTTAATTTATCTATTTCTTGTTGAATAATTGGTCAAAAAAATGTTAGCTTGAGATAACAATCAAATATTTATTTCCTTTTTTTTTTGGATAACTAGAAAAAAAAACCTTTAATTATGATATTTAATCAAGGAATTGATTATTTATTGACATTACTTGAGAGTTTAAATTTTGATTTAATCTATTTGGCATGGTTATGGACATTATTTAAACCCTTATGTCTTTTACTGTTATCATTATTTCTTTTGCCAGCAGCTATACTCTTATTTGTATACGGTTCCTCATTATTTTGTTTAATCTATAAACATTGGAATCGATTAAAAGTAGGTGAGGTTTTCTACTAATGAATGATTAAATAATATTGGTTTTCTTTCTAATTATTTCAAAGACTGCATATTCAGATGATCTGTGGTATGGTGCATTAAAAACATTGGCTATCTTATGGGAATTACAAGGAAATATATGGCATGGTAAGATAGGGTATACAGTTATTAGGCGACATCAATTGGTCACAATGCTAAAAAATAAAATCGGCAAAAAAATAATTCTTAGCATTATGAAGAAATAACTCAGAGTTGTTTAGAAAATAACTAACAATCTATTCAAGAACAAGACACATTAGATATAAGTATAAATACGAATGTTTAGTGAACTCCTTTGATTGAGTAAGTAGTAGTTTCTTTAAAAATTTACTCTAATCCTCTATAATTTGTCATGACTGTTTGGTTTTTGTGTGCTGTGATTTTTGCTTTTCGACAATGAATACTGTTTTTGTCTTTTCGTAACATTTCGATAAATTCAAAATGTGAATGTTATCATTTTGTGTTTCCATTTACTAGGGAAGTTATCTATGAATTCATTACATGTAGAATAAATCTTCATTATTCCGATGTCATCCTCATCTTCACACAGTGATATATATGATTGAACCCAATGTCTGCAAATCAGAGCCGTAACCGATCAGACCTAAAGTGATGCAACCTCTGAGTAGGATACAGATTTCTAGAGGTACAAACCTCATTTTTAACAGTATAATGTATAACAAATTTGAAAATATCTGTTTTTTAAATGTGGCTGTTTGACAGGAATATCTTTGATCACTTAGTTGATTGGTCATTCGGTCAAACTATCAGTGATGTGTTAGAATAATTCAACCTATGGATTGAGTATCCTAACCCGTACAGAATTTGGATAAGAGTATGAAAAGTTCTACCCGTGCAGTACTCTAGTCTAGTCTAGTTGGCATGACCAAAACTCGACAAGCTTGGCTTACATTCAAGATCGTAGGATACTACCATACCACTCACGATATTTTGATTACGTCAATATTTCTGTCCGGCTGAACGGTACTAATTGGAATTTATGGAACAGTTGGTCTTCACTGCTTGGAAAATATTTGATAAATATGGCAATTTTCTCTGATAAAACTTGTCGAGAGTAAGTTTGCTTTCTCTTATCAAAATAATTAAACAATGTTGTTGTTTCAAGGACTATCAATTTTATTTCTTTAAAAGAAGCAGATTTTTTTTTAAAGCACAATCAAAACTGTTTTACTTAAGCTAAATATATATCATTATATATTGATAAAGATCAAATTTAGCTTTAGGTGGTTGCTAGAAGAAAAACATTAGATTTATCTCAAAATACTAAGGGAGAAAATTCAAGATTCGAAATGTAGCAATCAATTTATGGATAAAAGACTGTTTTTTTTCGCGCTATATTAGCAATATTATACATTCATCTTTAAGAAATTCAAACAGATATAAATAACTATAATATGACGTCTCTTCTTTGAGATTTATGAAAACCTAAGTATATTGAATTGAATCACTTGAAAAATTCTTGATCGGCTACAACTCTGTTGATAATTCATGTTTACGAGAAGTCAAGTAAGAATTACACTTTTGTCAAATATGCGAGCGACTCTACATTGCAATTAATTATCGCTTTCTCAATAAGATAGTAATAAAATATTAATATCTGATATATGAGACAAATTAAATCATTCGAATTATTATTCAAAGTCCTGATTAATCATTTTCTATGTTATTTGTGTTTGTCTTAATTTGTAGGTTATGAAGTCGAAGGATTAGAACATATTCCTACAAAAGGACCAGTTCTTATTGTTTTTTATCATGGAGCATTACCAATTGATTTCTATTATTTATTTGCTAAAGTTTGGCTTTATCGTAATCGACGTGTACGTGTTGTTGCAGATAAATTTGTATTTAAAATACCTGGTATAATATTTATCTATTCAGTAAAATCTATATATTTTTGTTTTTGAATTAAATTACTTTCTTAAGGTCTTGGTACTCTTCTTGAAGCATTAGGAAGTCAACCAGCAACATCAGGAATATGCAAATCAATGCTTGAAGAAGGTCATGTACTTGCTATTTCACCTGGTAATTTGAAATATTCGAAAGAATTTTCATAGATGTTATTTTTCGTTTGAGGTGGTGTTCGTGAAGCTCTTTTCAGTGATCATAATTATCGTCTAATATGGAAAGAAAGACGAGGCTTTGCAAAAGTTGCAATTGAATCTAAAGCTGTAAATAGAACATTTGTTTTTTGAATTTATTTCATATGAACTTTTTTTGTTGTTTTTTTTGTTTTCAGACAATCATTCCAATGTTTACGAAAAATTGTCGAGAAGCTGCATGTGCTTTGACAGTCGGCCGTCGTAAGTTATTCTTTTAGATAGAATAAAATATTTCGATGCTCTTTTATTAGGTGTTTTAAGATATATTTATGAAAAAACTCGATTACCAATTGTTCCAATCTATGGAATATTTCCAGTTAAACTTATGTAAATATGAATAGAATTTTACATATGAATATTAATTTATTTGTTTAGTACTTATCTTGGAGAACCTATTCCATATGATCCTGATGTAACAACAGAAATTCTTGCTGTCCAAGTAAATATTAATTTATGAAATAGAAAAATATTTTTGAATGAATTCGTTTTTGTTTTTGAGGTGAAAAAAGGAATTGAAAAATTAATCGAAATTCATCAACGACGACCTGGTAGTATAACGCAAGCTATTCTCGATCGATTTAGCTGGTTTCCAATGAAACGAATGAAAACGAAGATTGAATAAAATCAAACAGAACGTTTATAAAAAAATTTGCTTTTTTTTAACAAATTTTTTTCCTATTCTGTGTTTGTATGGTGCAAGGTAAAAGTATTGGTGATGAAGTTTTCTTGTTTGTTTGTTGTGGTTCTGTGATATTCGTTGTGTTAAGCACAATATCTTCTCATCTTTTGTCATACATGAATAATCTTCCATTCGAGATGAAAAGATGATTGTTTAGTATTTTGTTCTTTATTCATTTTACAAAACAAAGAAACTTCACCAACTAATAGTCTTCTTTTTATTTATTAGCTTTGCATTGAAAGAAAAAATTGATTATTCTATCAAATTGCACAGTTTGTAAGATTAAAGAATCGCGTCTATGTTTTTTAATTTTTAGGAAGTTATATTATTCTTTAATTATTAATTACAAAGAATGAATATCAATAGTTAAATTTGGATGAGTAATGGGTATAAGCCCTAGGGTAACTAAATAGGAAATAAATGTTGCTGTAAAGTAAATATAAAAGAATAAACGATCGATGACAAGACCAATAGCAAGCCATTGAAGACGAAAATAAAATATACTATTTGTATTTGTTGACATATTATCTCGTTCACATGTTTTTTTAAGAAGTAAATCTATTAAATTTTCATCAAAAGCTTTATATTGATCTTTTTGATGATTATGATAATAAAGAATATTTTCAATTAAACTGCTTGAATTATTTTCATTCGATTCAATAAGACATAATATTGGTTTTTTTGGATTATTTTTATGTTTTGATGAAATTAGCACCGAATGTTTATTGTTAGGATTTTTTGTTAATTTTCTTTGTTCTTGTTGTTTTGGTAACCATAAAGAATTATTCGTTGTTACTGTTGAATGTGAACGAGTATAATGTGATGAATTTGATTGTTCATGTGCATATAGTAATACTTGTTGCAAAAGTAAATTTTCAACTATATTTTCATAATTAATATGAAGTTCATTTTGATTTGTTGATAATGGTAATGAATTTGATTCACATAAAAGATCATATGATCTAAATGATTTTTCCTAAAATAAGAAACAAAAAAAATTTTTAGATTTCTCAACAATTATAAAACATAAATGATAAGAATTTATTAGAAAAAAATTTTATTTTCATCTTTATTTGATTTGATACTTATTGTGTTAATGATAATGTATGGCAATAAATGACAAATACCTTTTTTTTTCATTATATAATAATAGGATATCAAACACATGTCATATTTGTCACTTGTTCTCTAACAGTACTATTAATTAATAAATTAATAGTTTACAAATATGAAAAAATTTGTATTTAAATATTTTATACAAAATGAAATACAAACAAAATTTTTCATTTGTCAATTTTTTTGCATTCGAATTTAACTCATTTAAATAAATTGGATGATTTTCTAACTATCAAAACGTGAAAAACAAATGGATCTTAAAATCTACAAAATTTTTGTTTAAACATGCTAATCAATTAAGTTTATATGAACTTTAGCAAGTTCTAGGAAGTACTGGTGTTCATGGGCGAATTAATATTATTATATTGTCCTCTGAAACACTTTTATCTACACAAAGTGCAATTGCTCGACCAGAGAAAATAGCTGATAATATACTAGTTATAACATTTATTAATGAAACTGTTAATTGTGTACAAGCGAGTCCATATGAAACTGATTCATATGTTGTACGATTACTTGGTTTATCTAATCCATTTGATCGATAAAATGAAACAATAAATGCAAAATAAACAATTAAATAAATAGCAAATAATGCTGATGCAACATTCATTGTCAAAAATCCAAAAATTGATGTATAAGTTCCTCTGAAACCAGCTAATATGCCGACTAGACAAGCGACTAGACCAGTTAAAAATGTAAAAAGACCAAATAGATTAGACGGAATGTCCATGACCACCAATGATTATAATAATTTGTCATGTCATAAAGACTAGCAGTTATATATTACCGCTTATATCTACACTTATTGCACCATTATAGACATGTGGAAATTCAACAAATTGTGTGAGCATACCAATAATTACTAAGAAAAATCCAAATAGAAGACCATACGAAATTCCATGATGAATTACGAGTTATTCTTACATTTGCATACATTCTAACTTTATCAATATACTGTCTTTTTTTATCTAACGGCAAATGTCTAGACGATGACATACGTAATTAGGAACAACATTCTTTGATTGACATTATATTAACGCTTCATTGATTTTTTTTTTCTCACATAACAAAAAATGACACCTGATAGTCGAAGCCTATTTGTTCACCTGTTTACTCTTGCATAGAACTTTCATGCAAATAAAGAATATTCTCTTACTTTCTGCTCAAGAACAGTTTTAACCGTGTCGTACATACGAAGAATAGATGACAGATATGTAAGTGCAAATTTAATTAACCATTGTGGTGCACGATGTTTTTGATTTGTGCACATTGCTGCATGTTGATAAACATTAGCAACGATCACAGCCATTATTACCGATATTGACTAATGAAAAGTTTTAATATTGTATATTTCTATATGTATATCATAACTTACTGTTAAGCTCATAACAATTGTTAAATAGATTCCTAAGAATGGACAAAAAAAAAGGAAAAAATAAATTTATATTTTAATATTAAATACATTTACCTATTATGGGTACCGTATCTGATGTAGCAGGAACTTTTTCAGCAACCATTAGCATAAAAACAGAAAATGCAACAAAACAAGTTAAACCAAGAGTTACTTTTTCCCCAGATGATGTCGGTAACCTATAAATAATTTTAATTAAATATTTTATTGAATTAAAAAATAAAGCAAATTTTTTACTTACCAAAAAGACATACAAGTTAAACATGAAAGCATGGCACATGGAATTATCACATTGAATATATAATATAATGGACGACGACGAATATGAACACCATAAACTAACTCTCCATATGTTTTATTATTTTTTGTTCTAGGATAAAAATAAATTTTGCACATAAAATCATTTAATATCTATCGAAGATATCACAAATCTTATATTAACTATACAAGAATCAAAAGTTATACTTTTTCTAAATAGAAAAAAACGAAGCTATTGGATCAAACTTCTTTTATCTTTAGCTTTCTTTAGTCTCGTTTATGTAACGGATGTGTCAGAGTAAATGAGCATTTCAATATTATTTCTATGTTTCTGCCAATCTTAATAGCTACGGATTAATTTTTATTTTATGAGACTCAGCCTTCAATTCTCTACAAATGTGTATCATAAACAACTTTCTAGCATTTGTATTAATGCATTCTCACATTGAGATATAGAAAAGTAAAACGTACCTTTATTGCAGTCTTTGAAAAGCTCTAGAATATTAGTACGCTCACAAATTTTTACAACAAATCTCTAACGCACAAGGTAAGCTTTGTTTTTTTTAGATTTTCACAAAAAAAACCGTTTTAAGTACGGCAGTGTTTCATATTCTTAAAAAATTTAAATAACTCAGCCATAAATTCTTTTTTTCAAAGTTAAATTTGTTTTTATTCAAAAGCTATTGAAGAAGAACATTCTTATCTTTCGGCTGTCTGGCAACAGATTTAATTGCTTGACATTTTTCCTACATCTAATATTAGCTGTATCTTTGAACAAAAAGCCAGCCTGGTGCAGAATTCTTGCACTCAATCTTTCGAACTTTCGGTAGACACTAACAAACCATATGCTAACTATAGGAGTACGTGTATATCCTAACATAGTCAGCATGCTATCGAACGGGTGATTCGAAGTAAGCAGTTGTTAATGACTTTTCAGTGTCATTTCATAACTGGCGGTACTGAGATTTGAACATAGTACCGTATGAATACATGTCAAACAGTGCAGCTACTTACGGATGAAGATCAAAACTACTGAGTCATGCTATAGAAGTCTATTTGAGTTCGAATAAATGTTTTTTTTCTCTCGATCAGAATCAAACAACAAAGAGCTGATACGGTAGATTTGGACCTGTTATGCAAACATTAGACTTTTTATCAGTATTTTAGGTTGATACGTTCTTTTGTATGTGTCATTAAATGAAGCGCACTTGATTATATCTAAGGTGGTCTTTTGAAGCTCTTAAACAGTGTTTCATTAGTGAGAAGTTGTTTTCTTTTTCTTCTATGATACACATTTGTCGAAAATTGAATGGTGAGTCTTTTAAGACGAAACCTAGTCTGTAACTACGGAAATTGACAGAGATATTAAGAAAATACTTAGAGGCTCATTTATTCAGACGCATCCTCGTTATAATAATACTAACTAAACGATTAAAAAACTGTATATTTTTTAATATTCATTTAACTGAAAAAACACTAACTAATTTATGAATGATTTGTATTCCTCTAAATTAGTGTCCGATAACTGATCGAATACTGATACCGCCCCGGCGATGAATAAAATGTCAATCTTCCAAAGTATTTTTACTTTTTCAAGCTGATAAGCTATATAAAAACATAAAAGTGAAAACTTGATCAATTTATTGTACTTTAGAACAAGTCACATAAATGGAAAACGTTTTTGTTTTACTCAAAGAATTCGTTTGTAATGAAAATTTATCCGTAGATGATGAGAAACCATATGACGAAGTAAGTGAATACATCGAAAGAAAAATAAATTACTAAAAAGATGAACATGTACTATTACGATGAAAAAATTATTCGTGTATTTATGCATAGTGATGACATTAACCACCAATATTGAATGCCATTCTAGTGTCATCAGCAATAATCAAACATATACTTAGCAAAAATCGATCGAATTTTAGAAGCAGAAAGATAGCAAGTCAATCTTGAATCACTTGTTTTTTTTTGTGGAAGTTGGCATGATCCCTTTTTCCTGATTGCTGTCTACGGAGGACAGTAAGTAGTATACTTTCTCATATACAATAAAAGTTTAAAAACTGTACTGTAACTATGAAAGTATCTATCAGATGTCGATTAGCTCTAGTTATGTGTCTATTACAATCATACAGGGTTCAGTTCATTTCGAGTTCGGGTACAAAAGAAAGTAACACACCGTATCTGATCATGATAAATTATACTCGCACAAGACACTACTTTAAATAAAAACTTCCAAGTATTTACCGCCATACAAGACCTTCTTTAATAGCAAGTATAGTCCAACCACTATTTCGTATACCGTCCGATTCTTGTTGAACATTTACATTTGGAACAAGTACATAATTAATCGATGATATATCATATATCCATGATGCAAATTTTAGACCACATATTTGTCGATCAAATGGAAAATATTGAATATTTACTTTACATGATGTACGTAATTTCATTAATACAGGAAAAACAACTTCACCTGTATGATAAACCATTACATAAGGTCCTAGAAAATGAAACATTAGAAAAAGAAAACAATTTGAAATGAATCTTAAATAATACCATTGATAACACCTTGTGTTGGTGTATCACTTGAAAGATCAAATGCTGCATTATAAATATAACTATCAGGTAACCAAATATGATGTGATGGTAAACGTATACCACGTATACCATCATATTCTGATTGATTCCAACCAAGATTTTCATCTTTCCATTTTTGTTCAATACGTACATTTGTTGTTAATACTTGCGTTTTTTCTTCCTAAGAAAAATCAAGTACAAAAAATAAAATAAAATATTCATATTGAATATTACAAGTTCAAATAATTGAGTAAGTTCCATTCGAAATGAAATATTTACTATAGATTGAGCATTAATAACTGGTCTTACACTTGGTTCATAATATTGTAACATTTTTCTCATAAGTTGTTGCTCTGTCGTACATTCTATTCATATTAAATAGTTTCAATAGATCATATGTGGAGAAAAAGAAAACAATACTTACCGACATGAGGTAAAATCAATATAAACAACAAAAATAATAATAATAATACGAAATTTGTACTCATGTAATTACATTTGATCAATGATGATGAGCATGTTGTAAAATATTCTTGATTGAAAAGAATCTAATGTTGTTCTTGTCCTTAGAGAACAATAGTATCGTATCTGAAAAGGACTCAGAAACCTCCTTCTTTTTTTTCTCTTGTCATCTCTTTGTATTTTTTCAGTTCCTAAGAAAGAACGACTATTTGTCGTTGTTTTTTTTTTCTTTTTTCAATTCCAAGCATCATCATCATTCGTCATTTAGTATTAAACTACGATTCGTCGATTCTATTATATATCTTTTTTGCTTTTCTCGATCAATACTCGGTAAAAACTGAATAGATGAAGATATGAACATCTGGTTTTAGCTTGCGGGAAAATTCCAATGAAGTGGAAATAAGAATTAGAAAAATTTATCAATTACACTATTATCAATCTTGTTTATTGTAGTTTTATTATAACGAATAGAAAAAGGAAAAAAAATAAGAGTGAATAACTTGTCGTTTTTTTTTCAATCATTTGCTATTCTTAACACTTTATGATGACGCGTAATATGGATGACACTTTCATTAAATATATTGAAGAGTACCCATCGATGATGAGTATATAAGGCAAAGAAATGATGACATAGACGCAAAGAGAACAGTTCTCGACTCTTTTGAATATAAAATGCAAACAAGAAAAGAACAAATCTCCACTATCTTTAGTGTTTGTACTTAGCCTGCTTGGCATTTATAAAAGTCATACTAATGAAAAAATATGAATATCAATAATTGAGTTTTTTATTGATGCTAACGTATTAAACAAAGATTCTCTACCGATTGCAATCATTTGTTTGTTTGAATAAAATCGATATTATTCTAGATATTCGATATGATGACTATTCTAAATATAAATTTCTTTGATTATCGTTTTCAATCGAAGATAGTTAATTTTCGATACAGCTTTAAGAAAAAAAATCAATTGTTCTCAAAATCTTCAAAATAGATTTATCACAATAAATCTTATACGAAGAACTAATTCATAATTAGTGATATATTTTTGAATTTGTTGAAATATCATGTCATTCATTCCTAGCAATGTTCTTACCAAAACTCTTTAATTGTTTATTTTTCATTATTTAACTATTAATAATCTTCATTTCAAAAAATAAAAAGCCGTAAGTGTTTGTTTTTGGAATAAGTTCTGAAAGAAATACAATAGAGATCTGCGATTTTCACATTTGTAAAGAGAACTCAAGATGCATCGAATCGTATAATATAGATTATTCTGGTAAGTTCTTTCAGGATTTTCAATCAAGCTTTTTAGAAATCATGGTATTGCGTCCAATCCTCAGAGTGAATTTTTGATTTTTGAATGTGCATTAGAGTCACTAAGCAAAGATCTAAATACTACAGAAATGGAAGATTTTCATCGTTAATCCTTCGAAAGTCATAGGTATTCTACTCAAAATGCTAATTCTATTTTATACAGAAATTGTGTAAAAAAAAAATCACTTTTTATACTTAATTTTTGTTCAACTTTTCTGAATCTTTTTTGTGATAAATGATTGAAAATCTTTCATAAAACATATTGAAAAAATCGGCATCACATGCTTCAATACATCTTCACCTCCTGTTTCCTACGGTAAAAAATCACAGACCTCTATGTTGTTTCTATCAAAAGATATTAACAAAAAAACACTCACAGTTCCTCTTTTTTGAAACTCATATCAGTTTGATTTAGATCTTTATCGAAATAAAGTTGAAATTTATTGTATTTTCTTTAAAATAAATATATTTTAAAGGAAATAATTTATAAATCTTTACATCTATGTTCACAATATCATTCATAAATATCCATACTATATTATATTGATGAAACTATTCCTTTTCTTTTATATAGGTGTGTACATAATTGGGTTTTTGTTTATTCATTAACTTTTAATAGATACAGGTTTCATTTTTATTCATGCTATATTTTCTTTTGGTAGTAAGAAAATAATAGTCTAATTTTTAATGTACGAAATGCTTCACTTGAAAAGTAACAGAGTTAATATTTTCATATGTTTTTGAGAATGATTTAATTTTTAATTCTTGTTTTCTGTCTTCATATTTTTATCTTAGATATTCGTGTATTATTTATGATATTTCATTCAGTTTATTCATTGAATCCATTGTGAATATAACATAGATTTATTAACTTAATTTTATTGTTTGATAATAAACAACAAAAGATAATTTATAAACATAATTTTTCTTTTTTCCTTACGATAAGTTTCAAAACATTATTTACTGTTGGTCACGTGAAATACGCGTTTAAATTAAATATATTTTCTATTAGATTGAGCATACCATTTCAACCTCAAGGAATAAAAACGTATAATGTTCGTGATCTGTAAATAAATGTTATGTAGATAGCAAGAGATTTTGTCAAATAAATGTTTGACGAACGATGTATTATCAAAGGATCATATTGATATTATACAAAATATTTACTTATTATTGCTATGAATGAAAAGAACAGAAGACAAGCTACATTCTATCAATTAAAACTTTCGAAATGCATATCGCCTATGATGTGATATGTCTTTTTTAAGACACAAAGAGATAATGTTTATGTAGAACTTTTATCGAATACATTAAATAAATAAGTTTTTTCTTTCTAAATATTACATTTGAAACAATATTGAAGAAGGTAAACGTTTTAGTGGAACTTAAAATTATGTGCCATCTTTGATAGTGTTTAACACTATCAAAGAATGTGATATTTGTAAAGAAAAAAACTAATTGTTATAATAAAATGATGAAATATTCAGAACATAGTCTACTTGGACAGATACGATTACAACCAAAATGGTGTTTAAACATCTCAAACCGTAAACTGTGAAAAATGTTTGATAAATTACCAAAACTGCGTCACAACAGTTTAAGAGTAAGAATGTTTTTGACATGTTTTCGATGTTTAACTGCTCAGACTTATTGAATTTTCACCGCTTTGACACGTTTTTTGCTGGCTAATAAAGCATTTTTAACGATTTGAGTGGTTTTAATGAAAACACCTGGTAACAATTAACAAATATGTCATTTAAATGATGAATTGACGATTATACAGGGTGTCTCAAAAGTCCCTATCTTAAAGTGTTTTTTCGTATAATTTTACTAGTAATTAGGGTGTAGTTGTGTCTGAGCTTCGTTTTTCTATACACTCAGAGTCAGACACATATATGAATATTCACGAAAAAATATTACCGTATTTTTATTATCTATTCATGTTATTTCTCGTATCCCAAATTTCTGAGCATAAGACATCAATTTCGTTTGTGACGCTAGAATTGATCTATTAGTTAAATTTGAATGAATTCTTGAATTCTTAGGATTGCTTGAGTTCCGAAACTTCCTTCAGTTCTGTGAATGAAGTGGCATTTTTGAGATTTCCATGAGTTTAGAACTCAGGAAATCCGGACATGTCTCTCTCTCAAGTAATTCCAACTTCGTAGTTATTTTCTGGTTCCATAGTAACGTTTTACAGAGTTTCATTTTTAGTTGTTTGAATTTTCGCTTAATACATTTTGATCCCTTCTTATGAAAACATATCAAACTAAATTTCTATATCATGACTCATCAGGATTTGAATAATTTCAAGATTAGAATAATTCCAAAAATCGAAGGAAGAAATGGAACATGAACCACAGGCAAAGAAACCAAGCAATATTAGATCGTTTGAATTATTTTGATAAACTATGAGTCAAACCAAATAATGATTGGTCTAAGAACGTACAACTTTACACTCGAAGTACAAATAATGCCCTAAAGGCAACTAATAGAATAGTCAAAGATGATAGGAACTTCAGAGAACAGCACATTCTATCAAGACTGTTGCGACTGGCTTCAAATATTGTCAATAATTGATCAATTGAACAAGATGTTACATCAATCAATGGAAAAATATTTGTTACTGAACTAACAATATCTTTAGCATTGTAGACTTTATCTTATCGATGGGCGAAATCAACAAAAGATAAAATTTGTATTTCAAATAATTCTTCAAAAATATATTATATACATGCACATGATTTACAATCAGTTTTTCAAGCAAGTATGAATAAATATAAAAATAAAACCTAGTCAACATTTAATCAATTCAAAAATTCATTTGATATATGGAAATGAATAATGCTGCAGATTGGAAAAATCAAAATGCAACTGTCCAAGGTTTTTTAAAAACTACATATGCAACCACCTTGGTACGACTATTGGTTTGAAATATTGCAAACCACCAACAGCAGCAATAATAGTTGTAATCAGCGAGGGAAGAAAAAGATGTAGAACTGTTACGGCTAAATTTGCTTCGCTAGCACAATAATTTCATTTTCTCGTATTTATTCAAATTTATTTTTCTCATACTATTACATGTAATACGGTTAAAACTTATTTTACTACTGAGCACATCAGATTTTGTTACTGAAATAAAAAGTAACTTTTTACTGCTACTTATATATAATAAACTGATCATTTAATCTACCTTATCGATCAAATATTTTGTTCCGTATTTTGATTTATTTATATTTGACTTTAAATATTCTATTTTGTCAAAAGATTTCAATAGCAATTTCTTGTTTCTCAGATACTAGGTTGCTGAGTTCTCCAACGTCATTTACAACATACGGACGTATAACAATGAAGTAGTGAATATTTAGTGCTTAGAAAATTTTATGTCTATTCTTTTTATAATGAGAAACACAACTTTCATATTTAAAATTGATGACGAATCAAATTGTTGAATGAATATATTTTTAAATATTATAAATAATAAAGGGATTCCTATGCAAAAAAAAAGAGTCACTATTAAGTACTTTCAGTAGTTGCACATGAGCACGAAATAACACTAATAAGTGACACCTTTTTAAGTGACTATAAGTATACTTATAAATAAAAAGTACTTTGTAATACTAAAACAAAGTAATATAAAATATTTCGCGTACCGAAAAAGTACTATTAAGTACTTCGGAAAGTACAAAAAGTACATAAAATTCACTAGAAAAAGTCAAAAAAAAAAAGTAAGAGATGTTACTTTATTAATATTTTAAGTACTTAAAAGTGATTTTTGCTCATTTTTTTTTACATGAGTTGTTGAAAGAAAATAATGAAATATTAATTATCGAACAAGATTATAACACTTTGAAAACAAAAATTAGAATATGAATTTTAGAGAATGTTCTATTCTATATGTAGCCCGACATTTATCTTTATCTGAATTAATTCCTTGTATCAAAACTTACACAACGGGTTTCATCAAAAATAACAACGTTATTCTATAGAAAGTGAGAATCGTCACAAGCTTCAAGTCTATACTGGAGATAACGATATCCTTTTTGCAGGAATGTTTCCACTTTACTTTTCTCTTGAATGATGAGACTTCTGTAATTTATTCATGTGTCGAAGGCTTAAACTTATTTTTCTAATTATTATTTCAAATACTAACTGTCTCCAACAATGCATTTTATAAGTATAAGTAAGTTTGATCTTTGTACATTTTGTCTATCTTACTCATAGTAATCACCGTAACTTGATCAATATAAGAACTTTTCAACAACAGCTCATCATAACTAACAATAAAGATATGCATTACTTACAATGAATCATGCATTAATTATTAGTATGAGCTAAAAGTTACACCGATAGCTAATGTAGTCAGCTACTCTGTAAACGAGTAAAGCGCTAATGAACGTTTAAAAAAGAAATAACAACCAAATAATGGAAGGAGAAAGAAAAAAGAAATTTCTTTTTCCTTTCCTCCGTGTGCTAAACGGAAATAAAAAAAAACATAACCAAAGAACAATTGTTTCAAATTTGGATGAATGATAAATTATGTTTCTATTCGGTAATAGAAAAAATGAGATAAAATAAGAAACAGCTAATTATTGAAACTTAATCGAACAACTAAACTAGATATTGTTTTTATAAATAATAAACAATAGGAAAATAGACTAACTTGATTCTTTTCGTCGGTCATGCTTGCTACTCATACATATTTCTACTTTCAACAAAGACAATCAGAAAAGATTTTCGATAACGTATCATTCAAGGTAAGAGGAATGATCTACATTGTCAATATGTTATCTTAATCCTTCCTTACCCTTTAATCCCTGTAGGAACCATTTTATAAAAATTTGGTTCTTTTTTGAACTATGAGACATTTAGAAGCAGATTTTATATCAACGTAAAACTTATCTGTTGTGGATGTGTATATGATTGGTAGAGGTAGATAAGGCGTGCATTATGTTCAACCACACCCACAATATACAATATGAATGTGGTATTCATGCATTTACATGAATCATTTTATTGTGGCTGTTTCGTCGTGAATTTCAAATATTACTTTCAATTAAAAAAGAATAATGAATGTATAACGTATTTAATATATGGGTCCTTGACGGATTTGCTTTAAACTTTTCCTTGTATATTATGAGCTATACGATTTATGATATTGAACAAATTGTCCTTCCAAACTGTCAGATTCAACCAACGGCAAGAAAGATCTAATATATAGAGATATTAATGGAGACTTCCGCTTACCATACATGAATTTCAGTGTCATTATTCTTCGTTTACTCGTTTATTATAGTGCACAATACATAATCAAATTTGAGTTGACTTTCTCAACTGTCCACTAAAACAAATTACTTTGAACCAAGATGTTGCTACACTTCTTGTTACGTTGACTTCGATGATTAGTAGTAGAAAATACTTTCTTTGTTTGAAATTCCAACATACTAACATATAAGTATTGTAACCTACTGTTTTTCATTAGTAATACATACGTATTCTAGTTACCAATTTGCAAGAAATATGTTTATTGTAGGTCTGAGTAGTTATTAGAATGAAGCTAGTCTTCTGTTCTTTTCATTCATATGGATTCGATTCTCTTCAAACATCTATAAAAAAACAGCAACTCAATCAGAAGATTGTTCAAAATACTTTCTTTATCCTTGTATTTAAATTAAGTTTAAAAAATGAATGTGATCTTAGCCAAACACTTCTTATTCTTGTCAATGAATTAGATGACTATCTATTGATATATTTATGTGGATCTATATTTAAAACTCACAAATTTTCTTATAATAGATAAATAGTTGTAATTATATCGATAACAGCATTCTTCTAACACATAATACGATGCAAGTGTCGTTGTTTTTCATATAAACAATTTTTCTGGAATAACAGAGTTCTATATGTAGTTCGAACCATAAATCGTCGTAAGCATTGTTACTTGGAAAGACAATGCTTCGACGACGACATTCTGCTTTGTTGAAAGCGAGGCGATGAACTGAATTACAGCAGTGAAAGAATAGCAATCGATTTCCTGTCGCAATTGCTAGCATACTAGAAATCATTCTTCGCACTGTCAAATACAGTATTGCCAAGACAAAAGAAATTATGACCCTGCTGAAAACAGACGCTGAAGTGTTTACCTCGCAATACCACTATCGCTGAGTATCAGACCCTTGGTGAGTGGATTCGATAGAAAAACGCGACAACGGCAAAAACATTTAATGCATGAGCTTGACAGATTTTCTATTGAAGATAAAAAATCAACTCTAACAGTTTTGCTTGAAGGAATATTTAGCTTCATATAGGGCCAATGTTAACACACGGGAGCACAAAGACACGTATATCAAAGAGTTAGTTGAGCAGAAAGACGAAAACTAGAGTCGAAAAATATTTATCCGCAAGACTTTTCACCAAATATTCAGAAAATGATTCATCGAAACTTTCATGAGTAGAATTGGACGGTTCCAAGAAAAAACTGACACTAGCTTTTTAATCAATGGCTTTCACGACGTTAAAACCATTGCAGATCACCTCATCCTTAATTCCACTAGATAATTCTGTTTATCTTCGGAATTGAAACATGAAAGTAGTTTGAAATACATAAGTCACGAGATGGAAAAATGTGTCCTCAAAGAAAGACTCGAAACAATCGTTTTGTTCTCAAATATTTCCGACGCCAATCTAATCATGAATGTCTAGTCGGTTCTTCAATAATGTCGTATTCAGAAGCGGAAACTATCAATTTTTGACAAGCTGAGTCTATTTCTACATGATGAGGGTTAGAAAATTGACTTGGCCTTTCTAAATCATTTAGTGCACATTCTTGTAAATTCAATTTTGTGATGAATAGGCGTTTGTTTTGCAAAGCATATCTGTCTATTTGTTTAGAAAGAAAAAAATTATAAACCTTTTACTATGAAATAGGATTAGACAAACAAAAGAACAATGCCTGTTGTTGCTCAACAACAATCATATAGTGTAGAAAAGCTAGTCTGTTTTGCAATCATTTTCAACCTTTTATGCTGATAGAGAAACAATGAATATTATACAGAAATTTATAATATTCGTTATTTTGGGAATTTGTTGTGGTGAGTATTAAACTAAGATGCTGTAAAATATTGATGAATAGTTTTCATTTAATTAAATTTATAATAAATAGATTAGTTGATTTCTATGAATGAGTTTGTCCATGTTTTTGTTTGCTATTATCTATTTAAAAAAAGAATGCATTCAATAGTTTATAAGTAGATATTGATCGAAATATAGTTCTCTTTTATGTCTAATAATTATATACAAAATTTTACTCTAAAATTATCTAAATGTAGTTGTAAACCATTTCCATACTGTTAATTTCATCACAAAACAATTAACTCTATTGAGTTTTTCAAAAAACAAAAGTTTTTAAATTGTAAAACTAGATTTTCTCATTTTTTTCTAAAGCACAATTTACATATAAGGTCTCTTAAAGTAAACTATTAAAATAATAATGACAGTGGATAAATTTCAATATATTATATATATTTGCCTTTACTATTGTATAACTAATCAGCATGATTAATATTTTAGGTTATTGCAGTGGTCTTGTTTGTTATGTATGTCAAAATTGGTATGTTTTCAAAATTTATATTTAAGCATCTTTTATATCGTGATTATTTCTCTAGTGCTGATCCAGCTGATTTAAATGAATTCACAAACAATACATGTCCGGGTCCTTGTATGGTAAAAAAAAAACTTCTTCCGTTTTATTTTGTTCATTATTATTCATTTGTCTAGAAAATTTACACAACCATTCCAACCATGGGTTCTTATGTATATAAAGCATGTACACAATCATGCACAGAAAAACAATTTTATTTTGGTTTTTCAAAACTTGAAGTTAAATGTTGTAATAATACAGATCGATGTAATGCTGGTCAACATTCAACATTTTTTAATCATTTTAATCAATTGATAATGACATTTGCCAGTGTTACTTTTTCATTTTTATTATTCTATCGATTAACAACAGTCAGTATTTAATGCCAACGAATCGAACGAATATTTTGGCTTTTCTTTTTTTTTTCGTCTTTTTCTTTTTTTTTGAAATAATTCTTTAATGTTGAATAAATACTCTACCGTCTCTTTCACTGTATGTTTGTATCGTTGTTTTTTACTTTAAAAATTAAAGACAAACAAAAACTGAAACTGTACATTTACATTGAAAAAATAAAAAATAAAAATTACAAACGATGAAATCGTTGATAATAGCTATATTTTTCGGTAGGTGTTTTTTCTTCAGCAAAATCTTTATCACTATAAAGTATATTTTAATCCAGTTTTATTACACTATGCTACTTGTATGGATTGCTATGATTGTCAAAATTGTGAAATACCTGCTAATGATCAAGCCAATACCGCTACATGTGGTTCATCTGTAACACAATGCATTGTGAGTATTTAAAAGAAACGGCTAAACCAATCGTATTTATGTGATTTTTCTATAGAAAGTAACAGCAAAATTAGGTACCGTTTATACATACGTCCTTAAACAATGTGGACCATGTTCTAATGAAACATTTGCATTTGGTGTCACTTTTCTTCATGTTGATTGTTGTACGGGAAACAAATGTAATGGAACAAATGCTTTATCATTCTCTAAATTTTCAATAATTATTTATCTTCTTTTTTTTTTATTCTATATTTCAAATGTAAAATTGAATAAATAAATTTTCTAATAAATAAAAAAATGAGTAACTAAGGAATACATTTTTTGTTTTGTTTATATGAAAAAACTCAAAGCTCTTTGGATTGTTTTAATCGTATTTTGTTCTTTACTTGTTATCGGTGGATTTTTCTATCTATTCTATAGACTCTATATTAATTATATTTATAAAAGAAAACGATTATGGTATGAAATAAGATCACCATTAGTAAATAAATCTGTAGAGAAAATTGATCAGAATTTAATTTCTTTATTACCACGACAATCAATATCACCACTTATTGAAGAATATCTTCCTTATGAATTACAAAAACAACCAATACAAAGAATAATGATTACTCAACTTCAATTTAATAAACCACCATTATTTATAAAGAATTTTAAAGAAGAATGGGATGAAATGGATGCAATAAGTACATATTATTTGTTATTAAATACATTATTTAATATGATATTTTCTTTTCAGGCGTATTTTCATTACAATCAATATCTAATCAAACTTCATATTATACAATTAGAGAACATACTTTTTGTGAAGAATTAATTCTTGATGAAAAATCTCTTATTAAATCTTCATCATTAACTTTTTCAAATGAATTTATTACGTCATCACCTTCATCTGTTGAACAATTATTTTCTGTCAGTAATTCTTCAAAGCGAACACCATTACCATCATTTTTCAAACCATTTATTAGTTTATCTAAACGATTAATTCACAATGAAAAATATATCTCAGATCAAAATAATTCATCGAATCACATTGTGCTTACTATGGATAATTTTAAAGAAATAAAAATATTTGATAATGTCTCACACGTATAAGAATTAATACTATATTCGATTATCTATGTTATGAGAATTTCTATTTATTTAAAAAAATATTTAACTTATACATGTTAGATAATAGATAGTCTAGAGAATATTTATAATCTACACTTAGTTAGATACTTTAATCAATAGAAAACGTTTCATTAAGAATCAGTTCAAGATAAAGTCAATAGGAAGATAGGATATTCATACATCCGAATGTGATGATAGAAAACATTTTATAAGAAGTTTTACATTATGTCGATGATGAAAACTGACATTGAAATAGTCATTTTGTTTTTTTTTTATATTATTGTATCAAGACTGATATGACGAATTCCTTTTATTTGAGATTCATATTCAATAACAAGACCAACTTTGGCAAGGAATACATATTACTTAACTCTATGTATCGTTCGGTGGCAAAAATAGTCGTGTGATTTGGTAATATTACTGAATTATCTTTGAATAAAATTTTCTTTCAGCAAAGATGTATGTAGTCCTTTTGGAATCTGTTTACCAATTGAAATAAATGTATCTAAGTTAAATGTTTTGTCATCTTTGTAGGAATCTGCTAAGTAGGCCATGGCATGAGCTAGTTGTGAATCCTTCGTATCAGTTGAATACAAATAGGTATGAAAAATCTTATTGTTATTATCCAATTGCTTCAACACGAAATACACTACTAATAGGGAAAAACCATTCATATTTGCTGTGATCAAATGTACTGAAATTATTTATATTAGCAAATATAGCGGTATCACTTTTGTCAGTATTAATTTAAAAAACAAAAAAAAACAATTTCCAGTGCCTAAAACTACATTATTAACAAAAACGAATGCTTCTTTCATGCCACTACTTGCTGAAAGGAATTCATTAAAAGAAAAAACAACACACCCTGTTTTTCTTATATTTCTTGATGTAAAGATGTCGTCATTTAATGGAGACGATAGAGTGTAGGGTAATTTATGTTTTATTCAACTTCTCATGGCATTTTAATATTTCTGTTTTTGTTGAAACCCTTAATAAACTTATGCATTTCAAAAAATGTATTAATATCAATAATAATTATATCATGGCTTATTAAATGTTCCATATAAAAATATATATCGGCACGGCCAGCCATCGGTCCCCTTCGTTGGGGAAGGTTCGAGATCAGTAAGATTCAGAAAAAAAAATTTGTTATAGAGAGTGTGATCTTGAAATATTATTAAGTTTGTTCCGTATTCCGAGTTACACAGCTGACATATAAAACCAATATCATTTTTCTTTCCTACGAGTTTAAAAACACGAATAATTACGAAATTTCACTGTTTTTTCACTTTTTAACCTTTCATTTTTGTCAAAATAATGAATGGAATTTTCAATGAAATTTTGAAAAGAAGATGAAAATGAACTAATCGATTTATATAAAACAATATTCTTAATCGTTACGGAACAAAAAAGGTTAGATTAAACAGGTAAAATTATCATAAAAATGGCACTAAACTGTCCTCCGTGGAAAAAGAGAAAATTGGTGAAATTCCATAACATTTGAAATTCCGTAACGCTCAGCCTTTTAAGTTAGCTTACTCGAAGGGATTGTCCTATGGCGAAAACAACACGATATTCTAAGAGTATGTGAAAAACTGAACAAATTTTGTATAGAACGTTCATTTATGAGTAGCTTAGTTTCGTATAAAAATGCTAAAATGTGAGTCATCCCTAAAAATTTTGTCCATTTTTTTGAAATTCCGTAACGAACGATATTTTTCAAATAATTTCGCTATGGCTTGTGATAACTCCATGAAATTTTCAGTGCTCACAGAGCTAGTTTACCTTTATGTATGCCCAAAATTTCAGAAGCATTTCTCTTGTTATTGAGAAGATATTTATCTCACAAGTTGAAAAAATGAAATTCCGTAACGCTTGGCCGTGCCGATATCAGGTGTACAAAAATTAACAGATGAAACAGTGTCATAATGGCATATCAAATCAGGTATCTGTTGAACAATATTTGAATGATCGATATTTTTCTTAATATAGATAATCAATCAGTGTTATAAATGAATCCAACATATCTTCCATTAAACTAATGACGTAATCAAGAGATCGTGTGTGATAAGATAGTGCCCTACCGTGTTAGGGTTAATTCATATAATATAGCCTCAAGAATGGTGATTAGTATGTTGTTTTTTGTTCTGATGATAGAGTGGAGTCTCGTCTAGTCCACTCCCTAAGGAAGACACAGCAAACTTCAAAATATTTTCAAAGGCTTCGAAGATATTTCAAAGGCTTCAAGAGACTTCAAAGAACTTCAAGACTAACATTTCTGCTGTTTTCTCCTCGATCTACGCTTGGTTACACTGTTATATTAAAAGGACATACATTAAAATGGTTTCCTATTTGTTAAAAAGAGGAGTGTTATTACTGAACATATTAAAAATGATGAAAATCATTTAGGAATTGTTTTGTTTCGATATAATTAATTATTCAAAATTTTTTACACTATCTATAGATCTGTTCACAATTTGGTCATATTAAGTTGATTCTCTATTGTAAGAACATAGCTTAGAATGATATAATGCATTAAAAATCATTTATAATGAAAAAAAAGCACTTGTGCAATTGAAGCTGTTAAAATATTATCTGCTACTATGACATGAAAGGCATATAAACATCTATATTCTATATTTATTGCGAAATCGATGCATGCATCGGTATCGGCGAACTCTACTACAATAAATAAACTCAGAAGAACACCGCATACACTATATGTACGGGCCGTATAAAGCCAAAGAAAGAGAACTGATGACATCATAAATAAAGTAAGGAATCAGACTGCACGAAAAAAAGTAACGCAATATGTTTTTTTGTTTTCTTTGTCAAGCAAACGCACGTTATCACAACCACGAGATACTATTAAAACTAAGAAATATTATTTAATTTATCTTACATCTGTAAAACAAGTTAAATATTCGATTAACAATGAGTCGAACTGTATTAAACAAGCTTTTAACTCAATCATTTGAAAATTATAATGTTCTTTTTAATGAACTTAAATTTCATAATCATAATGCACATCATTTAGGTTCACTTTATTTTTTGGGTGCAACTGATGATAAACTGGAAAAAGCCTATGAAGTTATGTGTAAAAGACTTGTTCCATATCAGACATCTCCTCATGAAATAAATCTTTCTAATTGGCGTACATATCTTGGTAACAAAGATTTTTGTAAAAGTTATCGAGATTTTTTTCATGAACAATTAACAAAAAGTGGAAATGAGTGGCATAAAAAATTTAAAGAATTTTTATTAGACAATCAAGAACATCCATTAATTAATGGTTCTATTGGTGGTTTAGCACATCCACTTATTCATATTGGTTATGCACTGGAACTAGATAGTCAAATTGTAGGTATTGAAGCATTAACAACGACTGCTGTTAGTTATAATTATCTCCATGAAGTTGTTGATAAATTAAAACCACCAAAATCGCCTTCAAAATCAGCTTTAGAAATTTTTAAAGATATTCATTTAGATAATCGTTTACCAATTTATGATACACCTGGTGTTGATACACTTGAAGTAGTTGTTAAAAATTATACTGATCTTGTTCTATCTCATTACGATCAATGGAATATGAATAAAGAAAATATTGAAAAAACAATTGAAGAATTATTCGATTTGGCAGTTTATTTATATGGTGCAACACATAAACCGAATGAAATTGAATTTGATTTTTTCTTACTTCATTTAGTGACTGCTATGCATGGCATTCGTATAATACATCCACATATAAATAATCAACAAGTATCTGAACATATTCTTCTGGCATTTTTTTATTTTTCTATTGTTATATATATATGTCAATTGCGACCGGAAATAAATGAACAACTTATTAATGATTATAAAATTGAGAATGCAAAAAATAATTGGAATTATGTTACTGAATGTGTTTTAAATACCGAATTAATGAATGATGCTCATGCTGTTAAAGTTATTCGAGCTTTAAAAGATGCCGAAAAAGTTTATGGTAATAAAAATGGATTTTATTTAAAAACTGCAGTTAAAAATGTTGATAGTGTGAATATTGAAGATATATGGGTGGGAGGATCGGATGATCAACGACAGTTAAATGTACTCAAACGTTCATAATTGATTTGTACTGTTGAACAAGTTAATCTTTTCGTTTTTTTTTGTTTATTTAATTTTCAATGCAATTATTTTTATCACGAAGTTCAAGGTCTAGATAGATAAGTGAATATATTCGAGCGTAATGGAAGTATTCTCTTGATTTATGTTTTTGATTCAGTCGAACATGGTGCGAAAATAAATCATACAGATCAACATAGAAAAATAAATGTCTGGGTTACACATACAATGCTATTTTGTTCTTGACAAATACGAATACTATTATAATATGTCTGTTGTTTAGATACATGGGACACTAGGAAAAGTTTTTCGACCTGATCTGGTAAAAGTCATAATTTAAGTTCAAGTGTTCTGTTCTAATGTTTAGACCTATATAGAATTATATGCAAAAATTATGCCTTTAATGTCTTATTTATTGTTGTACTTTTCTATTTCTTTCAGATTAGTCATATCTCATTTTCAGTATAAGTTTCAACTTTTTCAGTGTGAAGTTGACTTTTCGCCGTATTTGATTAGGATGCATGAACTGCGTTTTGATGCTCGTAAAAGTCAAGCTACATTTATCCTATATTGACTTCTGTCTTTGATATGAATATTGTACTTATATGTAAAATCATACTGTACAACAATTAGAATTCATATCGAGAATGACATGTGACTAATCTGAAAGGCATAAAAAAAATATAACTATGCATAAAATATAAAAGGTTAAGAAAATTTTTCTGATGCCTCATGTAATTCCTTACAAAAGTTTTATTGATGACAACGTTCATATGCTAAACGAACAATTTGTATTTACAAAAATTTGTCTGATCATATTTTTACGAAATTAAAATTGTTTCCATTATTAACAGTTTCTTTGTTGTATGAGTTAGTGTGTACTATTAGGTAACATGACTGGTACATTCTAGATCGACGCTACCAGGATACCTAGTCTCCTAATATTGAGGTACCTGACACTAAGAATGAGAACATAGTCTAGGTTTAATTTCACTATGTCGCTAATTGATTTTTGATTGATTGAAGTTCTAATCAAGTGTGTAGCAAAGAAAATGTTGCAGCAGGCGTATATGTGTACTATCACTATACGTTAAAATGAACCATGAAGTGTTTCGAATGGGATTTTTGATATCTACGAGATCTTATCAATTTTTATTATGTATCATACTAGTGACACTTTCTTATAACTTATTAGTCAGAAAGAATACATTGAAAATATTTATTTCATTGATTTCATCAACTATAGATGGAAAGTCGTCCTTTAATCAATCATGGAACATTCTTCAAGAGAAGAACTTATATAAGTGTTAGCATAATTAAATAAAATATAAACTCATAAAAATGAATTTAATTTTCAGAAACACAATCTAAATGGAATAGTGGAGGCAGAAATCTGGACTTTTTGCCACAAACCATCACAAACTATGAAAGGTGCTAGTTAGTGACTGTTATAGACCGTGACAGATACTTGTGCAACGCTCACCTTCTCCATCCCTTCCCTACGTCATAGATTGTGATAAATGTTGTTAAAATATAATCAGAGACTGTGTATTAATAATGTCCTATTCTAATATATGAAGTACCTCAGTATTTCATTGCTGAATGATTAAGTAAAACGATAATGAAGAAATGTGTTTTAAAAGAGATAGAATAAAGCAATATCCCGGGATTAGCGACGACAGCTACCTCGTATATTATCTTTTAATCCTTTCTAGGATTGCACTTACAGCTTTTGTTCTATGGTTTATTCAAAATTTCGTCGCACAACGAACTCTCTTACATTTATTCTAAATTGATGAAATAATAAAAAATTCAAATAATAAAAATATTCATATTTTTCTATTATTTGATTAATTTTTTTATTCACTAATATAACATCGTAGTGACATAAAAGGCGTTTGGTTAAAATATATTCCTAGACATTAATTTTCCTAAAAGAAATAATTAATAATTTTCATTGAATCTTGGAATATATAAATGTTTACAGTAAGTTATTAGATTTTTTATGAAAATCTAAGCGATTATATTTATTTATATTGATCAAATTTCGATGATTACACTTAAATCACTTAAAAAAATATTTCTTTACATCGTTCTTATTCGTCAAGTCTTCCAATGACAAATGTCAAGAGAAGCCAACTAAGCATAAATTTCATTGATATTGTCCTATTTAATGTGAACTTTCTATTTAATGAACTTTAGTTAAAAAACACACATAGACGCTGTTTGATAAAGTTAATTTATTACTATTTTTTCTTTTGATCTCTTCAAAATTAATGGCAACAACATTTTATATAATGAAAACTCAATTGAAAGAAGAATCGAAAAAAAGTGCACAGTCGAATTTAGTTGTTCTTTATTTACTGTTGATGAAATTCATTTTCTTTTTTCTTTTGTTTTTTTGCCATTACCATACCTATCTTTCTTCACTTTTGCCAATAAATATTGATGAATAAAGTAAACAAGTGAAACTACTTTTCTATTGTTTTAATATTCTGTCTTTCTTTTTTCTTTTTTTTTCGTCGTTGTATTTGTTTAAAACATATTCTTTGATTGCATTCACAACCACTTCTATTTTTCTAACCAAATGGCATCATCACACACTTTAATTTTGTTATTCATTATTCTATTTGACTACTAATGGCTGCTACCTCTTATTCAACGTTACCTTCTAATAAATATACTGATTTTGGATCTAGACAAGATCCATATCATTCAAATAATTATGGTAGAAGCTTTATTATAAAATTTATTTTCTTTAATAAATATTTGTTTTCTAGGTACATATGATGCAGGTTTCGGATCATTAACTTCACATCCATATCAATATGAAACAAATAATTATGATACGATTTCTGTTGATAATCAACAAACAACAATGAATAGTCATTCGAATTCACAAGTGCCTGTAACTAATTATAGACCATTAGATACGAATCATAATACGGGAACTTATGGTACGACAAATATTGCGCAAACATCATATAAAAGGAATATGGATAATCATCAAGTGGAATCTAAGAACTATCCACAGGTAGATTTTTGTTACAAGAAAATATTTCAAAAGAGAAGTTTGATAATCTTTCATTTTCTTAGATCATTTTTACGTTAGAAAATTCTATCATTAAACATGTGGTAGTAGCATTTTATACCATAATAAATGTTTAAGAGTATGCAAAGAAAACCAAAAAGAGATCTTGTTTATAAAAGTTTCTAGTTTATATATACGATCCACAAAAGGTGTCATCTGTTTCAGATTGTAAAAATATTAAATATCAATAAAAATTCTCAAAGAATTATCTTTATAAAGAAAAAAAACAATATAAATTTCACTCAATTTCCATATATCGATGGCCAATGTTTTAGCTTAGTATCAATTTAACTTCTCTTTCTAAAGAAAAACGGTTTTCAATTTAATTCTTAATCACAAAATGCAATGAAATTAAACATAAAAGAAGAACACCCCTGCTTTTCAGCTACCTTATGGTATGAGGCGCTGCCTAATGGCAGATTCAATAGTCTAATATTTTTCCAAAAACTAATACTAGCTGTAGTTCTGGAAAGATAGCCAGCTGATGCAGAGTTCTTGCCCTCCCAATTTACATACACTAGCTAGTCACATGAGCAAGTGTATATCAAGCCTAGAAATAGGGGGGACCAAGCTTTTGTGAGTCTAGGCTACGTTTCAAGAAAATTATTTCAGAATTTATTCACATCATATCTAAAATAATTCTTGAACTTTTTTTCACTTATTTGGTCGATGAGTATCATTTTTTGGATCATTTCTTGAATGATGTTTTTATTCATACGACTTATGAGATAATTTACTTAAACCCGTAGAATATTTTATTATAAACTCGAGTTCCAGTCCGGGAAAAGATTTAGTTTTTGGTTTCGTACATGTCTAGTAAGATAGTGATACTGAGTTTTGCAAACAGTACCATATGGGATCATGCCGAACAATGTACACTTTCATGCGAGAACCTCTTCAGCTGCGCCTTTCAGATTTCAATGATTTGTTACGTACAGATACTACATAGTGTTCTAATAAGAATTCGAAAAGATTTTGCTTCCTATTAAGATTTGACTAACCTATCGGATTTTTAATATGTCTATTTTCTAGAAGTCCTAGGTCTTCTGAAGACTCGAATTTTTGAATTTCGATCTGAATCTTTGTGCATATAGTGAACTCAACTAGATTAGTTTTCATAGAAATATCCAAAAGTATCGAACAAAGTTGTTTTTCGAGATATGAAGGTTTCAAAAAACGCATGTTATGTACTCTATTCATGGAAAAGGATCTATATCGCAAACATCTTATATCTCGGCAGAGCTTTCTTCGAAACTGTTAAATATTTTACGGAAGCAAGTCTCATTTGATTTCTCTATATGCGGAAAGTTCCACGCCAAAAGTAAAAAAATACTAGTTTTCTGAAAACTCGGAATTTCTAAAAAATAGATATATTAAAAATTCGATCACTTAGTGAAAACTCAATATGCACTAGAATCGTTCTATGATTTTTATTAGAACATGATGTAGTATCTATAGACAAAAGGACATTGAAATTGAACGGGAGCAGTTGAAAAAGTTTTCTCGTAAGTCATGATGACTTTCATCATAGTGATGATTGTTATAAGTATGTTTAACATCGAGAAAAGATTTCGAAAGTCTTAACATATTTATTTTTAATACAATAACGTGGTAAAAAATTTTCTCTTATATGAAAATTTTTTACTAATACGAAGTGTATTAATGAAGAAATATTTTCTAGAAAACTATAAATCTTTTAATTAAAATAGTTAAAAATATTTCAACACAATTTATGTTATTAGAGTTCATATGCTGACACAACACAGCAACGGCCACCTGTTCCAAATGATAATCAGCATCAGCGATCTCAAACGCACCTCATTCGATCTGAACATCAAATCTCAAATCGTCTCCCTAAGGAACAACAGCAACAGCATAAAGCTCAGCCACCATCTCAATCAAATTTGACTCGATCGGAACAACAAATGTCAAAAGCTCGTGCATCACCTCCTATTCCTCATCATGCATTATTGAATGGTGATAGTAATTATGTATCTGAAACGTCATTGAAAACAACTAGTCTTTTACAAGAATTAAAACCTACGAAATCAAGTCAAATGAGAGCTGCAGCTATACAAAAAAGAGAAAAAGTTCTTGAACAAAAACGTCACGATCGATATTTTCCATCAAGTGAAAATATACCTACACTAACAAAAATAAAACCTCAACATGAAAGTCCTAAAATAGATGCTGAACAAAATACAAAAGAAAAACCAAGTCGTGACAAAAAACAATCTGATTCATTACCAAAACAACATCACAGTCGTCGTCATGGAAATCAAACAGAAGATAATAAAAGCTCAGGTGATGATGATGATAATAATAATACACGTCATCGAAGTAAATCTAAAAAACGAGCAACAGCTTCTGATAATCATCCTAACAAACATTCACATCTTCCTCCAGTTCATCATGGTCGAATGCCACCTTTTCACGATCCTTACATGGATTATCCATTACCTCCAGGACATCCTATAAGAGGACGATATCCATATCACGATGGATTTCCACCCTATGGACCCTATTATGGTCTATATGGTCATCATCATTTGTATGACGAAGCTGATGATATTCCACCTTATCTGTCACCTTATCATGACGCTTATGATCCATTTTTTGATTATGAAAAACGAAAAATTAAACCAAAACGACACAAAAGTAAACCAGATGGTCATAGTGATCATGAAGAAAATAATGGTGGTGTAACTGGATATGAAACTGAACGAGATGATGGTGGTAAAAGTCAATTATCACGAAAAAGTCGAAATAAAAATACAAATCATGATCATCGTGGTCGAAAGAGTCGTCGTGATTATGAAGAAAACATGCATTCACATTGGCCACCAGGATACTATCCACCAAATTATTATCAGGGTCGTGATGTAATGCTTGAAGTTTGGCGTCAAGAACGAAATGATTATTTAAAAAGAAAATTTAAACCATCTATTCATGATGTTCTTTATTCTCAACAATGGATGAAAGCAGGTTTTTTAAATGAAATGAAATTTTTGTTTTTTTATATATTAATTTAATATTTGTTTCATATAGATAGTTATCTAGAAAACCAACGAAGACGTGCTGTACGTGATGCACAAGGTTATTATTTTCCATATAAAAAATATACATTAAAAGATTATAAAGATTTTCAAAAATTAAATAATCCAAATCTATTTGGTGATGCCAATGAAACAGTTATTGATCGAGTAGGGGTTTTGTTTTTTGTTTTTTATTTTCAAAATGAATATTTTAATTATTTATTTAGAAAGAACGTGCAAAAAAACGTCAAGAATATGGTTCATTAGTTGAAAGACAAATGGTAGATAATCCAGGAACACGACATATACCACCACGTGAAATAGGACCTCGAGAACCATGGCATTTAAGTAATAGTGATCATGATCCTGAAAAATTATCAAAAAGAGAACGAGTACAAACACCATAAACGATAAAAATAATAATACGTATATACATATATTTTTTCTTTTTTTCTTGAAAGGCTCTTGAATACGCTAAAGTGCAAGTAAAACATCAACCAACAGATTCAACAGGAGATCAATCTAATAGATCAGATCCCAATGAATCATCTATGAACAATCATATGCCAAGAATGAACAATGATCGTGATAGATCAAGTATATTTAATTGAATAGAATTGTTTTTCTGTAAGATTTATTTACTTATTTAGATAATGAACGAACTAGAAAAACTCATCTATTGTATGATGATTACGACTAGTGAACGTGAACATTCATTTTCATTCATTCATTCATTTCTTTTATTATATTTTTTTTATCAAAAAGCAGCAAGATTGAGCAGAATAAAAACGAAGGTCTCAAACATAGAATCAATGAACTATTGTTGATCAAACCATCTTTACAATTCATTTTTACCCCAGGCATCATATCATAGTCAATATCTCAATTGAATCATTTCCGATCTTTTTTTTCTCGTATCGATACATTAACAGCTATATAGCGGAAAAAGCTCCACTTGAACCAAATTGAGTGAAAAGCAGAAAAAAAAGTAAACTCGGTCTGTTTTTGCCAGATAGTATTGATTGCAAGTAATAGGTTTATATGATGACATGGAATACATTAATTTTAAGCATTTTTATAATGCTTGTTTTTGCCGAAGCAGTATCGGTAGATAAACGTAATAAACGTGCACGAGGATGTTTCGCAGAATTGAAATGTGGAGGTGAGATCACATAGAATAATTTTATTTAATGTAATCGATTTATTCTCAATTGAAATAGAAAGATCAGAAAATTTATCAATCGCTGTTCAAGGTCTACCAGGTTTACGAGGACCACCGGGACCAACAGGTAAATTTTGAATTTAGATAGTTATTTTTTTTTAATCAAGATCTTTTCTTATTTTGAGGTCCACCTGGACCTATGGGACCACAAGGTTTAACAGGTCCTCCTGGTAAGAAAATAAGTTTATATAATTACTTTTTTTTCATATCATTTATTGTTCGTAGGTCGTGATGGTTTTATGGAACGTCCACCTTCATTTTATGCTGAATTACGTCGTTTATTTATTACCAAAAATAGTGATAGCATACTTCGACCATGGACATTAAGTGAATCAGCAAATGTACCCGAGACATTTTCATATTTCTCACAAGATAGTGGTATATTTACTATTCCTACAGCTGGTCTTTATCATTTTTTTCTAACAATATCTGTTTCGAAAGCTAAGGTTAGAAGAAATATTTTTTTTTTTTATGAATAAAAATAATAATCATTCTATTAAAGGCATCAGTTTATATTACTCGAAATGGAGAACGTGTACGAACAGTTTGGGTAGAATCAGTTGCAACAATACAAAATGAAACAGTAGCGTGGGGTTGGGCAAGTGGTTCAATTGATTGTCTTTTATATGGTCAAACAGGTGATCAAATAGCAGTTGTTGCTTCTTATCGTTCAAATGAAAATTTCAATTCTCAAGTATATGGTTATTCATATTCAACATTTTCTGGATATATGTTACAGAATATTTAGCAAATTTTATTGTTTACGAATATAATCATGCAGAAAAACAACAAACGCTTCTTTTTTTTAGTCTTTTAAAAGTGGAATTATATTATCAATAAACCATTGATCAGTAAATTGTAAATGATCCGTATCTGATTCAAGAAATTTAATACGTAATTGTTGATCCATTATTTTTAAACCTAATAAATCTTTAATATATAATGGACTTTCACGTAGTGGTATAATTCTTGATGTATTATTTTCAGCATAAAAACCAAACTGTTCACTTTCAGGTGGAGATACCATTGTATCACGTAAAAATTTTACAAGAACTAAATTACGAATTTTTAAAAGATTTGTTCTATATTGTTCATTGAATGTACGTTCTTGATTGATATCGGCTAAAAATATACTTACTCTACGATATGTTGCTTCTTGATGAGCTAAAAGCAAAAGAAACATATGTTTAGATTAGTGTTCTGCAGCAAGTACGAGTCTCAGGTATGATCATATACCTGAAATCGACCCGGCAAATAATGAGATTTCGACTTTTGAAAATATTTTTATTGTTTTCAGCTGTTAATTAATATAAAATCTAAGAAGCGAAAGTCTAAAGAACCTATTGTACTTGAAAATAGATCATAGATATGGACAGAGATATTGTTTTACTAAAAGAATTCGTTTTTAATCAAAATTTATTTACAGATGATAATGAAACACTTAACAAAGTAACTGAACGTATCAAGAGAAAAATAAATTATCATTTATGTATGTGTCTCAAATTTTGGAGTTTAGTATCATCAACAACAAGAAAATATATACTAAGTAAAGTTGATTGAATTTTATAAAATGGAAAGATACTAAGTGAATCCTGATTTATTTGGTTTTCTTGTTGCTGTTTATGAAAGAAACTGAATAGTTGAGTTTTTCATATAAGATCGAAATTTGAAAATCGTACAATGACTGTAAAAGCATCTACCAGATATCGATGAGCTCTAGATAAGATTCAATTGCGAAAAATCGTACCCGTACAGGACATTAACTTGATCTTATCAAAATTTTATGTTCTAATATTAATGTATTTTGAAATATTGATTCATGTGCTCTTAAGGTGTACAGAAACAAAGAAAGATTTAAACAGAATTTGAGTTCAAATTTTTTTTTGTTAGGGTTAGAGGCTTCGAGTTTGTCTGTTGAATGTTACAAAATAGAGGTTAGTTTAAAAATGACGAATAAACAAACAATTTTGTACACCATGTTCTACTGAAATCATTTTCTAACAAACTAATTGCATCGACTGAATAGTTAAAAGTTTACTTGAGAAAGGTCTCAATTTTTAAATGTCTATTTATAATGATTATACATACGATCCTGCCAATATTGTGCTTGAACAAGATGTTCTTGTACAAATGATTCATAGACGCCAAAACGTAATAATTCTCGAATATAATTGCATATGGTTACATTATCTCCCGGACATCGTGGAAAGCCAAAAACGCCTTGATGTTGACCACCAATAGAAATTAAATTAAGCATCGGTGGGCTAGGACAACGTTGAGCAATAGCACGAAGAAATTGTCCACCTTGAGAAAATCTTTGATAAAATAAAGAAAAGTTTTTTTTTTTCTCAAACCTAGTATAAAATTTATTTGTTTTACCCAATAGCATGATAACCGTTTGAAAGATTTTTATCAGCATTTAATAATTGACAAGCATAATCAATTTGATGATTAACATTCATAAAAAATCCATTTAATGTATCTTCTTCAATATTTGATCCAATTCGTAATGAATGAATATAAGGAGCCGGTGTTAATTGATGTTCAATTAATTTAACTATTGACCCAAGACTTAATGGATTACAACAACTATCACCCATACCATGCCATAAAACAATTGGTGGTGAACCAATTGTAGGAAAAATATGGGTGAAACAAATAATGATACCGACAACGAGTAACATTGAAATGAAAGTTTTATCTGAATGTGTATTTACTTTTTGAGATAACTGATATGTAATAGAAACGAGTAAATAATGTTTAGATGAAAGTTAAAAATTATAAAACATCAAATAAAAAGGTTTTATCTTGAAAGAAAAGAATGTCGAAAGAAATTCACCAAAAATCATGAAATCTCTTATAGAAAAATTATCCTACATGTACGATTCTGTTTTTTGATGATACTCTGCCTATACATAGATAATATTCAACTAGTAAAAATCTTAACTAAATATCTGCTATTAATGTTTTCTTCTAAAACTACGAATGTTTTTATCCAGTGAGTGAAAGGATGTATCACATTAGAATATTTTTTCATATCAATCAAATCAAAGAATGACTGACTACAACTTTTATTCTAATAATCTGCTCATAGTACGAAAATACTGATATCTTCACCACATCTATATGTCGACTAGATGAAGTCTTAAGTTCACATAGATAACATAGCTTTAATTTATATTCCATTTAAAGAAAATCAATTTTTCTAGTTTACAAAAGGGTAAAAATAGTAACAATTATGAAAGAAAAAAGTTAACTTTCTCACTCTAAGCGTAATTTTCATGCCTCTAAAATATCGATTCATAACTTCTAAACCAGAAGTCCTATGAAAACTTTGAATCTATATTCGGAAATAAGACAAAATTGACTTTCTAACTCAATATTTTCAAATTTCTATACGCACCTTTAAAACGTTAAAGAAATGAATAAATATGTTGTCAAATTACTTTTTCATTATCCCTTGCCAAGCAAGGCTTGAACTTTATTTCTTTTCTCAAGCAAGATTTCCCATGTAACAAAACAGAAAAAAATCTGATTTAAATCGAATTGATTTTAGTTTTTTTTTGATAAAAATTTCTTACATGCGTCGTGCACCTCGTAATTAGTATCAGTCAAGAATCTCTATTATGTGAATGTTTTGGAATTTTTATTTAGTCAATAGAACCAAAGTATTTATTCCGTTCAATGACATTTCTCATCTACACATAAAGCTGAGTACACCATTAACTGCATTAAGTGGTATGGTTTTTACTGAAATGGAACAGTTTAACTAAAAATAGTAACTAATCTGACTCTTTGAAATGGATCAGCAATTATTTTATTCGTGAGAACTTGTGGTAATAAATGTTTGTCTTCAAGAAATAGGCGTATCGACAATTTTATTCATATCGTGATCACTATTATAATAAGCTTCTTACAATGTTCTAAAAAATGATTGCAGTGATTGTAAAATGACATCATTTAGAAATCCTCTGTGTAAAAGAAATATATTTTTAGTAGTGACATTATAGTTTTGATCGTACGAACACTGGAAACGGATTCCGTAGATATGAATAATTCTTGGCGTGGTATGGATTGCCGAACAGTAAATACACATCACTATTTCTGGCTTGATTCTATGTGATTTAGATTCCAATATAGAAATAAATATGTCGATGGATAGACAAAATTTTTCTCTGTAAACCT